CTGAGCACTCACGTTGGCGCACGTGCGTGTGCACACACGTGTGTATCCAATCCGGTGCATAGGAGCCTCGCATGGGGGGGCAGTCACAGCGATGACACATTACCTTTCCGCAGTACACACTGACAAAGGGAAGCATTGTGGCAGTCGGTCACAGGCCCTACGCTTCAGAACAGCCTACAGGGTTATGCTGACATTTGGTACCGCAATTTAGAATTCTACTATGACACATTGCATGTAACTATTTTATAAATTTGTCCAGTTTTTTACCAGCTTTTTTAAAGTTATTAGTGATACACGCTTAATATTACTTCAAAATGTCCAATATTACTGGGTGTTGGGATAAAGCGGAGTTTTTGGATTAAAAATCCGCATTTACAAGTTTATCGACATCGATTCGAGCTTAATGCGATGTCGATTAGTTTCCTCATTTTTTTCTATTTACGCGCCCAAGGCCGTGGCTATGTAGCTGCCGCATTAAACTTTAATGAATTTTTGTATTTATTTTTACAAAGCCCCATCCTCGTCCATCCGTTTTCCCCACCCATTCACCCCCAATCCCAGCACTCCAATGAGACAGAAGACTCGGGTTTCAAAAACCCAAGGGGGGACTATACAATCCACTTTTGCCCCATACTAAATTGAATTGTGAAAATAATTTTTGGGTTATTTTTTAGAAACTAAATAAACCAAAAACATTTCTCTGGTGTGGATTCATCGTAGGGCTGCCCAAGGATAAAACACTCTCGACTGAAAACGTCTCATGCGATTCGTGACTAAAAGGTCAACATGTGAATGCGTTTAATGCGTGATAAGTGCACGACAAGAAGTAAGTTTAGCCACTTGTAACTGTTTAACTGAATTAAAAACCGAGAAGAAAGGATGTGGAAAGGACAAAAGCACTAAAAAGAAAGCCAATAGACAAAGAAAATTATTACAAGAAATCCTATTGTCTAACATGATAGAGGGTGTAACTGAATATACTAGCAGCCCGGGTACTAGCTAAAAGTCCCAGACACGTGTTTTGCCGATATTCTGCCGCTGCTTGACACAACTGCGAGGGGTCCGGCTCATCAATGGGTCCCCCAGCTTTCCCTGTTTGCTTTTTGGTTGATATACTGTCTTGGCAGTTCAGCTTTTTCGATTTCCATGGAAATTTATTTCTGTTCGTGGTGAACGTCAATATATTAAATGTCTATAGGTGTAGAGCGCAATTTTAGATGTCTATTTGGACTGAAACCCCCAAACCACTGCGAAGTGTACGCTTACTACCAACGGACAGATTTTACTAGGATATATTGATGTTGCAATTTACCATAAACTCTTACAATTTCAGCCTTTGCCTATAGACCTTAAATATGCTGATATAGAAAACTGCGAACAGAAATTAATTTCTATGGAAATCAAAAAGATAAACAGTCGAAAATGTGTTTAGACTAGTTCGAAATTAGACCTATTGAACACTTGGAAGTAGTTTGTTTTTGTTGTTAATACTTGTTAATACAGCCCGGGAATTATCAGTCCAAAGTCACAAGAAAACGTTACCATCCTATCATTTCAGTAAACACCATTACCGTATATCATTACTGTGTGGTATTGTTTTAGCTGCTTTGGTTGACGTTCAATCACGACAATCGTCTTTTACGTTTACTACATAATAGGACCTTGATGGACAGTACGTAAACGTAGACATGATGGAATTTACGAAGAACGACCACCTTCGGTTGGTGACAATGACAACACTTTTTGACGGCTGCTACGACCAATTTGCTAAGAAGACGAAAAAGCCGCCCGAAGAGGAGCCCGCTACCGAGACCAGACCTACCTACCGAGCAACAGTCCGCAAGGCCATGAACAAAATGCTAACTGAAAATTTCAACGAATCATCCTCCTCGTCTGAGGACGATTATGATACAGAAACGGCTACCGAGCTGTCTAGATCCGGAAACAACCCCTTTTCCTACGATTATGCTTAAAATAGCCTTCTGAGAGGGTAACCTATCATTAACCTGGATCCTCGCAAGCTTCAGGGAGTTGTTTCCGCACCTAGACACCTCGGTACTCCGTTGCTCTTTTGTTTAAGAGATGGAACTAAATACCTGGTTTTTTGGCTTTATGCTTAATGCAAGTATGAATGTACCTGTAAACTACCGAATAAATTAGTTCGTAGGGAGATTATGATCTTGATTACTAATAAGGCAGGTCTCAAATGCGATATAATTGATGCGCCCTTGCGTCTAACAGTAAATAAGAACAAATAAAACTAAGATAATCAATCAGGGAAAAAAGTGAAACCCTTGCTACTTTGGGTAGGCATTTAACGTGACAACCAGCCATACGTTGACTCACCCGTTGCGGAGGTGTTCATTGACTTGGTACTCTAATAATCATTCATACCAGCATTTCTCATTTGACAAAGCAAGGGTAATATGTCGAACCAATGAAAAGATGACTAGACTGGTGCTGGTAAGTTGGTATTCGACTGGCATATTTAACCGAGCGATAGACCTCCATCCCACATACCAGGCGGTACGCACACGTCTCGAGTCAATTCGAACAATGCCAACAGAACGGCAAACCAAAATAAAATGAGGGTTACAGCTGAGGTCAAGGAGAATAGGCAAGGAGCCCTCCAGGAATAACCTTATCGCCACGCCCACGAGAATAATATGAGTTCACGCGAGCAGCAACAGGCGATTAGTCTGTCGGTGTACGAGGAAAATGCCATTGAGCACGCTTACTTACCGATAAGTACGACAGCTGTAAGAAGGACAAAGGTCACACGAGACCACCAGCGGTCCATTTTACGGTCAGTCAGTAGCGAAGACGCTGGGTAAAGTTCCTGCCTCAAGCACGGCTATAATACGATGCATACCGCCAGGCTGAAACAGTCCCGGCAAACAGGAAAAATTATCACGTTACTATGACGATGGAACCAAGCCAGCGTCCGAAACATCAGTCTCATTATAATTCGGTCCATTTCCTCGTACCGTCTTCTTTGTCCCCTTTGGGGGATGATGAAAACGCGAAGATATCTGGACGTCAAATCTATTCGCATATTATTGGAGCTATGTAGCTTATGTCACGTTAGTTGAGACTAAGGATTGGGGTTTATTTGAGAAAAATCGGTGAATACGCCAATCTTTGCGAATACGATGCGGACCTTTTGTAAACATATGCTCGCCCGCCCGCCCGCCTGCCCGCGCTGACTGTTTGCGCCTGACAAACTCATGACCTTTTGGCACACCGACATGTGACACTGGGTCCGGTCCACCTGCTGAAAAGATGCGCGCAAACATTTTCACTGGCCGCATGAATGATTTATCTCATCAGTTTACTTGGCTCGATCCAGTTTCTAACCTAATGGAAGACAAGGAGAACCAGTTATTACCTAGGTATCCGGATAGATTAACGCGCCTTCGAGAAAAAGTCGCATGGTTAACAGGCGTTGGCTAACCAGACAGACAGACAGTCGGCTTTGTCTGGTTTTGACTGTCTGGCATTTCTGCTATCTGCGAATGCATTTTAGGACCCTAAACAATATGTCGCGTAGACAAGAAAAGGTCATGCGACGATCTTCACCTCATTTGCGGTTTAAGGTTGTAGGGGTCTAGGTACTGGTTGTGCTTAGAGCACTAAAATCATAAGGCTGAATGCCAGGTTGGAAAGTAGAAGTCCCCAGAAGGAGTGGCTTATTGTATACAGAAATCCCAATTGCAGTCTCAGGCGGCATTGATCACTGGGGAAGCCA